CAGACTTCAACACTGTATAGAACAGAAATAAAAATGTCTGCACCTGGAGTACAGTTATTATTTCGGCTGATAAGTTACTCTGGACTCTGAAATGATGACGGTAGTCTCAAAGTATAATAAACTTTAACTAAAAGAGGTTAAATAAATAACAAACGACCAGCACTAAGTGCAAAATCTACAGGGCGATTTCGAAATGCAATCAAAAATACATCAAAAAACTTAATTCAATTATTAAAAATTCATGAAACAATCAGATTTATACAAACAATAAATTCACAAGGCATCGAAATAACATACCTGTATATCAAAATTAAGTATAAAAAAGAAATTTCTTCATACAATGTCATATATCTTAATAATTAATCCTATATCTAAGTTACTATGTCACACCTAAGTAATAAAATGACTAAGCAAGACCTAAAATGTTAATAAAGTTATTATAAGGAATATTTTAGGGCAGGCTCTGATCCGTATTATAAGTGATATATAACTATATCTATAAAACGTGTTAACGCTTGCATTTTCACCCGTAAGAACATCTATAAAAATATTTATATAGCACATTGAAACCAATACTGTCGCTAAACGATAATCTCGCTTATTAAAATATAAACTTATTTTCAGAAATATCAAAGTGCATACTCCTAGGGTCGGTGGACTAAAGCGCATAAGTCAAAAACCAACATCCTTCATTTACATTAATACATCTACCAACAAAAGCACACAAGTCAAATTCATTTGTTACTTCATTAGTTTGCAAATTTTGTAGTGAAAAATTCGAAATATATGAAAAAATGAAGCACTTTTTTCAGTTATGTGCTTTAGTTCGCTGACCCCAGAATTACTTTATCAGGATGTTTTTAGTACCATGATTATCATATTTATTTTGTGAAAATACTCCATTAGAATGTGGCTTGGCGGCAAAAAGATGTTTAAACTCAATACAAAGGTCTGTAGCAGCACATAGAGAAATTCATAAGATCTGCTGACTCGATTTGTAGCTCAGTTGGTAAGAGCAATATGGCAACAGACACTGGTTTGAATCAAAGGATTTTTTCTTTGTGTTTGTTCGATATTCTCATCAATAATATTAACAAACTACAGGTCTACCGCTTCTTCAGTCGGTGTCTACTAACTTAGTCTATTGTTGTTATGTGAAACGATAATTAAAAAAAATTTAATTGATAATTGAAATGAATAGACAGGTCATTTGGCACTTTTTTCAATCAACTTGTTATTGAATATCGTCAGAAAAATATTGTTGAAATTGTTCCGTGTGCAGCGCTACGTAACTGTTATGTAAACTGTGTCTCCTCCCGCACCCCGCAGTTTTTTTTTATAGTACATAGTGATGGGACGAACAAGTGCGCCTGGTGGTAAGCAACACTCCTATTCATAACAGTTGCAGTGCCATTCGGAGCTTTAAATCGCAAACATCGTATTGACACTGCCGTTGCGCCCGTCACCCTGAGACATAAGTTGATAAGTCCACATAAGTTGACAAGTCCAATGTGCCTATCATTTCACAAGCACCCTTACCCTTCTAAACCGGAACGCAGCAATGCTCACAATACTGCTTGGCGGCAGAAATAGGTAAGGTTAGGTTAGGCAGTACTTCCCTGGACGAACTCTTTCACAAGGTGCTCTGTAGCTACTTCAGGAACCGACTCAGTTAAGCGGTAGGCCTGCAGCGGAGTGTATGCACAAAAATATGTGAATATCATAATAGTAAAACATCATAATATTCAATAAATAAATATAACACTTATTTTGCTTGTTATACTTTTTACACGGTGTCGCCGTACTTACAGGCAAATCAACCAAATAAGCAGCAGTTACTAGTAGCTTACATCGAACACGTCGGTGTGTGTGCATCATCATTCCATAATTTCCGAGCGAGGTATTTCCCAATGCATTTGTATTATATATGTCTATTTCGATTTCTGGTGATTATAGTCAATGTCCATAAATCAAAATATTATATAACTACGATTATGTTGAAAAAAATTGAGCAATAAAAGTCGAACTAGCCTTTTGGAATCAAGTGTCAATAAAAACGTGTGTTCTAAATGCGAGGAAGAATATAACGAAAGAAAATGCAACGCGTCAACTATTCTTATAATTTAATTCTCTCAATTCATGATGACTTTAGTTCAAATAAAGATAAAAAAAATGCAGCACTTAATGATTGCTTGAAAAATATAATTAAAATAATATTTTTTCATAAGCAAGACCAATTTGAGACCATTGTAATACGCAATATACTGACCGAATCGTAAAAAAAAATATTCTAATAAAGTAAATTTTGCAAAATTTATTTCTAAACCATATCGAATTTTGCAAAACATGCAGTTTCTCGTTTTTTTTATAGAATAGCAAGTTGAACTAAACGTAAATGCAAGAGTTAACGTATCTTACAAACCCCAAGCAATAGATACGATACTACGATACTATAGGGACCGTAGGTGTAGTCTGTGGTAAAATCAAGGCGTACAATCGGTGTCAAAATCTATTAATTAAACGAACGTGTGGTGTTTACGTGGGTTTTGATGTGTGCGATGTAGACGCGGAGAGAAGAATCTCAAACAGTTGCAAGATATGCCATGCCATTTAAGTAAGTACAATCTTTATTTCCTCCACAATTTTGGTGACATAATAACTATTTGACGGTGACATAACAACAAATTAAGGTGAAATAATAACTGTTTATACAGAATAATTTGTAGAGGCTGGAGCCTAAACCTTACCTAAACCTAGGTTACCCTATATTGTAGGTAACCAAGTTTCCTCTTTTAGAAATAGAGTACATCTCTTGGGGTCATATTCTAGAACTCTACTCAATGCTCAAGTCAGGATTTGAGTATGGTTTAAAGCACTCGAAATCATACTCAAGTCCCTGCCATTAGGGTCGTATTTCCAGTGCTTGTGTTGCCAGTGCAATCCTGACTTGAGCATTGAGTAGAATTCTAGAATACGACCATTAGTCTCTTACTGTAAAATGAGCTTATAGTCTTTAATTAACGTATTTATGGCGAAATACAGGAGAGATAATTTCATTGAACATCTCTAATAACAATCGAATGTAACTGATTTTTACGTAGATGAGCGTAGAAAAAATATTTTGCGAAACTTCGTGATTATTTGATCGAGCGAAGTATTTAATTGTTTAGTTTAGAAGTTTCAAAATTGCGTAGTAGTTTTTGATTATTGAAAGATTGATTAAATGTGGAATATTTAATACTGAAAATGCAGTGTCTCGAATTATGCGTCTGAGATTATATCATTATATATTTAACGAGTTGATCGCGTATATATCATTTCGACGCCGACTGTACCAAGGAGAAAACACTGAAAATCCAATGGAGTTATTTATCTAGAAGACAAATGGAGTTAACCGAGAAAAGTGTGTTTCGTTCACCCGGTAAACCGACCGTGAAATTAGCCAATGTGTCTCATTTCACGCTGTAACAAATAACATGGTGTAAAAAGATAATACGTATGATCGCTTATATGGTTTATTCATGCGTACGAGTTGTACGGTAATTGGCTTTCACGCCGTATTTATCATTCATGATTATGCAGTTTTGTGAAATGGTCGATTTGATTGAATTCATACCAATCATTGTCTTGCAGAAACAATCGCAGTACAGCTCCTTGTGAAAGAGTTCGTCCACGGAAGTACTGTAAGCATTACTGCGTTTCGGTTTTTTAAGGGCGGTGGTGAAATTACGAGCACATGGGACTTTTCAACTTATGCTTCAGGGTGACGGACGCAGTGGCAGTGCCCATCAGATCTTTGCGATTTACAGCTCTGAGCGGCACTGCATCTATCATGGACAGGCGTGACGCTAACCATCAGGCGCACTTGGTATAATAAAAAGAAATGTAATTTATCCCATGAATTACAACACACATTACAACATTAATATGAGGAATTAAAATAAACCGGTTATTCTTTACAGTCGCCTTCATAAAGTCACAAATTAACTTCAAGGGCAATGTTTACGGTTGTATAATAAGATTCCTATTGTAGTTTTTAGTGTGAGGCCAGACGAGCGTAATTTTGCGAGTTGTGAGTCGCGTAGTTTGCGCTATGTTCGGTTTCATATAAAAGTACGGTTTCTGCCGACTCACGGGCGTAATGACGACCGAATTTCGGTCGCATCGTGAGACGGACTGGCGCGGGTACGGGCACTTTGCTATAAACGCTTAAAAGCAAATGAATGAAACACGTCCGTCTGGCGCTCCAACCAAATTTCGGTCGAGCGCAAACTGCGCAACTGAAAAGACGCAACTCACAAAATTACGCTCGTCTGGCCTCACCCTTAAGTTTATTGAATGGCCACGATTTTACTACCATGATATTCAATTATTTTTTGTGAAATTACTACACTAGTTTGTTTTAATTATTAATACAAAGATTGAATATTAAGAGGGAGCATGCCAAAAAAGTTTTGACGTTGGCTCCGCCCAAATTTGTGAAACAAATATATATCTGAAGTTCGCGTGACATGCGACAGGAGATGTTGAATTTTGCGCATTAAAAGTACCAAATTCGTTTTAGCGGAATAACTCTAAAACTAAAGGTATTGAAAAAAATCCGTAGTGACAGTTCTCGATCATGCATAAATATAATTAATTATCTAATTTTTGTCCTAACAACCTGTAGCATTTCGAGGATGAATCGAAAAAATGTGAAAATTAGAGGTAATTTCGTGATTTTTATCTATCGAGGAAACTTTATTGTTTTATGTTTCTGATTAGTGTCTATGCTTGAATATGTCATGTAGTTACTCATACAATATTTTATTATTAACTTTAAAGTGGATATACCCCTCTAAAATCAAATCGAAGATTAGGAATTTTTCCTCTGCTCTCTCTTAAGAAAAATTGCTTCGATTCGGGTTCGACCCAGCGCTTTCAAGACTTTCCCTATTGTTATTTAAATGCTACGATCTGGTTTTCATACGAAAAATTTTTTTCT